GAAATGACTGCAGTGTTACAATTTTTAAATATTTTTCTAGAATAACTGTTTTTTTTTTCTAATACCTCAAGGTAGGTTTACTAAGCTTCTTAAATATTATTATTCAATACCTTTCCTTGTACTCTAAAAAAATTGCCAAAAGAATTCGTATTTCGTGACTGTGGCAGTGGTTTAACCCTCTTAACCCAATGTCTACCGAAAGTATTAGTTTTGTAAGTTTTATTAAGTGCCTTAAATTTGCTTATTAAAGAAGCCATTCTATCTTTCTCGATAGGGCTTAGGGATCTCAAAGCTGAAATGATGCCGCAATTGATGACCGTTAGATTATAGTTTGCAAATCGGCAATTGAAAAATTACATTATGATTGTTGTGTGATATGTATTAGAGTAGAAACATTCTCTGTAAGTCAAGGCAAATTAATTTGTGGAACATTCTCGCAAAGACCATAGCGAAAAGTCATTTTATAAGAAACGTATTGGAACACTAGGAAGTGCAAGCGATTCTATTTGCTCTGTAAGTTCTGTAGTTTGTCTATAACAAACGTAACTTGGTGCCACCGCACATAAAATCGCTATGATCGCATGAACATTAGGATAAAAAAAAAAATTAGGAAAGAAAAATTCATTTAATTACCAAACGCCTCTTGGCAGATCCACAAGTACTTGGATTTTGAAAATGTCTGATCTTCATATTACATACATGAGTTAGATAAACAACGCTCACCTGAAGCGGGCAACGCCAACTCCTGTATAAGCCTTGGAAAGGTATGACTGAAAAAAGAAAACATAAAAAAGAGAAATAAATAAAATATTTAAAAAAGAGATTGGACAAGAAGCAAGTGAAGACATTACAGTGAGACAAAGCGCATCATTAAATACGTGACACCACTTTCTTATATACAGTTATCCATATAACTAGTTTTCAAACTAAATCGTTAGCTGGAGAATGTTTGAAAAAGTGGTCTGCCCAAGAACATTTTTAGTAGTATTCGTCCTTGGACCAAATTTGCAACCTGTAGGTTGAAGACGAGGCAAACAAAACGGACAGATAAAATATATCCTATAGGTCTATAGACTTAGGTACTTACTTTTAATATGTGGTGGAGAAAATTGACCCCTAGTAGTAATCTCATACAAAAATTAGCTCTACAAAAGTTGGACCGATTCGGCCTATATTTTGGATCCTATCCTATACAAAAATTTTTACGAAAATTGATCCTTTATAGCGCAGAACAGTTGAATTTCAAAAATTACAATCAACTATGCTGAATTTTGACCATGCGTCTAAATTTGTGAACCTCTTAAACGCGATCTTTCTTACATAAAGTAAGCCTTTATTTGCAAAGAGGCCCAATCTTTAATATACACTTCCTTAATAGTAAGCTCCTGTAAAAACAAAGTACCATTTTTATGTTTTATGGCTTAGAATTGAATATGGTTCTTATTGTGTTAAACAATGTAGGGTATTTAACAATCGGAGTAGTCGGAATATAATGTTTTTACATGTTTTTACCTGTAAGAAATCGCTGACCAAAATTAATGCAAGCATCTAATAAACTCGTTAAAAATTTCAAAAGAAAGTCATGGACAACGCTTTAATCCATTCTTCTTTTTCTGTGCCAAAAATTCGTACAAAATTCTTTCACTACGCACCATTTATTCCTGTAGTCATTGCAAAGCATCCGCACAATGCTTTTGTAGGTAGGCTACAATTCTGTTGACCTATTGCCATTTTGCATTGTGCTGAACTGCCCTCACCTTCAGTGTTGTGAATACATACTATTATGCAAATGCGATCTTCTTCTAACTACAATTTATTTTATCTTCTAAAAGTCTTAAGGATTCCATCGGAACGTCTATCATTTACTCGGGATTTAATGCAATAACCTCTACCATGTTATCTTCCAAGTCATATTGAGATTTAATAATCACTTGCTTCTTGTTTTCATTTTGCAAACTTAGCCATTTTAGTTGAGAAAAGACTTGTAGTAATGCATTATAATCGCTTGTACATGAATACTTGTTCAGTTTTTATTTTAAAAAATCGATAAATAAACAATTTATCCATTTTGCTTCAGTGTGCTTGTCTTTTCTTTTGCGCCAAACGTCGTAAAAACAGGGACGTTATCAAGTCAAACCACAGCTGGTAAGTAAATATTAAGTGACTGAAATCTGTCTTCTTTTACTTGCTTATAAACGAATTTTTAAATATTTTATTTAAATCCGCGATAAAATTTTTCACAGTAGATGAATAATGAATGAAGATCATGTATTTTGGTGCCCTACATCACTTGTAGTACAAATTCGGATATATTCCTTCTGTCCGTCTGTCCCGCTGGCATTGTAAATTTGTGTTCAAATTATAGGTCCCAATTTTTGAAATAATTTCATCAAATTAAGTACGCTGGCGCGCTTTGACACAACGCTGAACGCTGTTAAAAATGGTTTGGATTCATTTGCTTTTTCGACCACTTTCGACTATTTTCATCGAAAATGTCGTATGAACTTCAGTTTTCGTTATACAAAAAGGGGTTCAAAAATTGCCTCAGCCGATCCAAACTTTTTATAGCAAGTTAGAAAGTCGAAATATTACTACTTAGACACTTTTGCCGAGAAATTTTAAAAATTGCAATTATTTTCCATATAACAACATTTCAGAACAGGGCATTATATGAAGAGTGGCCGAAAAAGTTGACCGATTCGAACCATTTTCAATAGCTTTCGTTCTTTCGTCAAAACATTTCACTGTACCGAATTTCATCGAAATATTTCGAAAATTACGGGCTGCAGCTTGACCACAGATTTTCAGGGATAGGTATTAGACGGACAGACGGGCTTCGAGTGATTCAGATTACGGTTCTAAATCGATCAGCATAATAAAAAATTGTTTTTTCTTAAGCCCTTCTACGTGTTATATACGTCCACGCTAATTTAATATAACCTATACCACAAGTGGTCTAAAGTATAATTAAATGGATCAAATTTGAATCACGTAAGTCTATATGTGAGATTTCTCGAAAAAGATTTATTATTAATATTTTATAAGTTGGTCCGTAATAGCAAAGAAGTTAACGGTAGAAAATTTGACCCCCATAGATCTATTGTAAATAAGACCCTGATAAGTAAGCCCTTATATGTGGGGAAAGTCATTTCTAGTTTTCTTTGAGGGAAATTAAAAGCCATTAAAATTTTTAGGAAGTAAATTAAGTTTGAATAACTTGGATCAAGTCAATTCAGGGTATGAGGCTCCGCCAATATGCAAGCTTTCATGAAAATTAAATCTCCGCATGAAAATCCTGTATAAATTTTGTTGCATTGTTAACAGAACGAGCGAACCATTTTACTAAGGGAATTGGTGTAGGGTCGGCCTTATCGGCTATAAAGTTCTTACTTATTTTCTTTTTTTTTTTTAGTCACGATTCTTACAGAAACAGTGCCGTTATGAAGAATTGCAAATGCGACGTTTTTCTTGCGAAAAATTTCTATTAATCAAGCAAATGTCATACAAATGTGCTTAAGTTATTTGCGTGTTTACATTTCCATTGTTACGTCAGATTCTTGACGTTCACGGCGTAATGTTGGCAATCTTGAAAACGAAAGTTTTCATCAGAACACTTGGTAATCAAAACATCTGCATAAACCTTATCGCACACAGAAGTACACGTTAACAACGAAGCTGGTAGTTCCCCCTAAAATAAAGCACATTAACCTCTGAAATCTTTTCTCATCACTCGAGTTGTTTTATGAAAATTGGTGTAACTGTAGCGAGAACTCATTTAATTTTAATAAATTTCTGTAAGCATTCAGTGAGTGCATCAAGCCCTCATTAGTTCAATTCTGATTCGACACAACTATTATTGATTCATTAACACACAAATTGGATTTGAGATAAATTATAAAGTAAATTTTATGTGAGGTTAAGTCCTTTTGTGTCATAAAGCGTAGCTCTGTGTTAAGAAAAAATTAGACGAGCAAGTGAGAAAATTCATTTCTTTAGAAAACTTTTCCACGATATATGTTCTTCACACTTTTGAAAGTGATCCGGGACAACTACAATGAATTATTAAGAAAGAGAAATCTATTCATACTTTTAGAATGTTTTGTAATTTTAAAGCATTTTTCATCTGCGAATTTTAATACTTGCGTCCAACAGAATGTCAGGCGTGAAAGATGATTTTCTCCCTTTTTTTTCATCATTTCATGCTTGTTCTTTTAATTTTTCCGCTCCTGCCTTACAAACTATCGGTGAATGAATATCAGAATCAACCTTACGATTAAAAGCTTCTAGCAATTCAACGATGTCTTTACCTGTAGCTAGTACCTTCGTGGACGGAGATTGTGCTCGTACAAAGGTAAATTAGGGCTTTCAAATGAAGCTGAATCTTATTTCAAAATTAATTCAAATTGTTTTCCCTTTTTTTTTATCTACTTCAGATCAAAGTGGATAAATTTATTTTCACATGGACAGTGGAGAATTTCAGTATTTGGTGCAAGGATATGGGCGATCCAAGAGAAGATTTAGTATCTCCAACATTTTCGTCTGATGCTGATAATAAATTGAAATGGTAACGTGATTAACTCTAACTGAATTATTCCTGAAATGATTCTTACAGAAACAGTGCCGTTATGAAGAATTACAGATTCGACGTTTTGCTTGCGAAAAATTTCTATTTATCAAGCAAGTGTCATACAAATGTGCCTAAGCTATTTGCGCGTTTACATTTCCATTGTTACGTCAGATTCTTGACGTTTACCGCAACCTTGAAAATGACAGTTTTCATCAGAACACTTGGTAATCAAAACATCTGCATAAACCTTATCGCTCAGAGAAGTACTCGTTAACAGCGAAGCTAGAGAAAAGCACATTAACCTCTGAAAACTTTTCTCATCATTCGGATTGTTAAATGAAAATTTGAATAACTGTAGCGAGAGCTCGTTTAACTTTAATAAGTTTCTGTAAGCATTCAGTGAGTGTACCAAGCCCTCATTAATTCAACTCTGATTCTGACACAACTGTTATTGATTCATTAACATACAAATTGGAAATTTTATGTGAGGTTAAATTCTTTTGTGTCATAAAGCGTAGCACTGTCTTGAGAAAGAAATTAGACAAGAAAGTGAGAAAATTCATTTCTTTACGAAACTTTTCCACGATATACGTTCTTCAGATTTTTGAAAGTAATACAATGAATTATTAAGAAAGAGTAATCTATTCATACTTTTAGAATGCTTTGTAATTTAAAAGCATTTTTTATCTGGCGTGAAAGATGATTTTCTTCCTTTTTTTTCATTATTTCATGTTTGTTCTTTTAATTTTTCCGCTCCTGCCTTACAAACTATCGGTGAATGAATATCAGAATCAACCTTACGATTAAAAGCTTCTAGCAATTCAACGATGTCTTTACCTGTAGCTAGTACCTTCGTGGACGGAGATTGTGCTCGTACAAAGGTAAATTAGGGCTTCCAAATGAACCTGAATGTCATTTCAAAATTAATTCAAATTGTTTTCCCTTTTTTTTTATCTACTTCAGATCAAAGTGGATAAATTTATTTTCACATGGACAGTGGAGAATTTCAGTATTTGGTGCAAGAATATGGGCGATCCAAGAGAAGATTTAGTATCTCCAATATTTTCGTCTGATGCTGATAATAAATTGAAATGGTAACGTGATTAACTCTAACTAAATTATTCCTGAAATGTTTTCCTTTATAGGCACCTCCAACTGAAAATCGTGGATGAGAAAAAGTTATCATTATATTTAATGTTCTCACATTCAAGCAAAGCATCCGAAGTTAAAGCAAAATTTAACTTCCACATATTAAGTGCAAAAAAGGAAGCAGAAAATGTCCGCGAGGCAACAGAGTATACAAACTTTTGTTCTTAAAACAGAACTTTTTCGTTTTAATTTTCATTTTACAGAGTGTATCTTTTTAATGCAAAACAACGGGCTTTTGGTTTTCACTGCTTTATATATACCGATGATTTATTAAATAGAGCCGACAATTTGTTGCCTAACGATGAGCTGACGATTGTTTGCGAGATTGGCGAGGTGAACGCCGTTAATATCTCTGACGAATCGAAAAACGTAAAGAGTAAATTGATCGAAGACGAATTGAGTAAAAATCTTGGAAATCTATTCGTGAATGAAAAATGCAGCGATGTGGCATTGGTTGTAGGTGAAAATGAACTCAAGGCTCACAAACTTATACTATCTGGTAAATTGAAAAGAGAGAAAACTTTCAAATTCTACAACAGCGTTACCAATTGCGTTTTAGTTAGGCTCGTGTTTATAACCCTTCAGAAGCAAGATAGGAAAGTCACTTAGAAAGATTTGGTTCCACACGTTTCGACTTAACATTCGTAGAATATTTTCTTACAGAAAAGGTGATCTCGAACACAAAGAGACTTGTAATTTTTTTATTTGTACCCATAAATTTCTCTGCATTTCCTACCTTTATAGAATTCATAGCATTCTGAATGTTGGGCAAGTTAAAGTAACATTTCTTTGAAAGCATCATATATTTCCGAAAATATTTCCTTTATCACGTCAAGAATTTGTTTACCTCACTAATGACGTTAGCTGAATGTTTCAAATTTGGAATCATTACGTTGTTATTTAGGAACGAGTTTTTGACCATATGAGTTATAAGTAAAGTTTCAGTGCATTAACCCAAGACGATTTAATTCTCTGTTTTTACTTTTCTTTCGGTCCTTAGTCTATTGTTGCAAAACTCGCAACAGCACAACTTAAGACAGAAAGGTGATTGTTACCGTCTTAGTTACTACTCAGCGCTTTCTTTCTTAAAGCTTAATATGCTTTCAATTATTATAAAAGTTGTCCCATCCTAACAACTGACGCGCCCACATTTAGCAAAATCAATTTTGGACTTCAATGTATTGTTTCATATCGAACGGATTTTTTATCAACCTTTCCTTTTAAAAGCTCGTAGCGAGGTTTTTGCTGCTATGTTTGAACACGAAATGGAGGAAAGCAAACTCAACCGTGTCGTCATAACCGATATCCACCAGGAAGTGCTCAAGGAAATGTTAAATTTCATCTACACGGGCAAGGTGTTTAATTTGAATAAATTGGCCCAGGGTTTGCTGGCCGCTGCTGATAAGGTAAAGAAATCTCCTTTCGTAACTTTTTTTAAAACATTAAAACATTAAAACTTTTCTTGCTTCGTAGTATGCTTTAGAAGGACTTAAAATGATGTGTGAAGGGGCTCTTAGCGTAAACCTTTCCGCAGAAAACGCTGTCGAAATCCTAATTTTGGCTGATCTACACAGTGCCGCCCAATTGAAAGCTCAAACTATAGCTTTCATCAAAACGTAAGTTTTCTTTTAACGATATTTCATGAAAAGGGGTTTAATATAACACGACCGACATACTCCTTTACGTTTAATTGACTTAATCTAACCATTATATCCATTGTCGTCTCGTATGCCTGCTTAATAAACACTTCTCCGTGGCTATCAGGCTTTCTTTTTGAGATGAGAGTGAATAATTAATATATATCAGTGTTCACCAAAAAACATTAAAGGATTAGCCACACATTTCGCTTCCGTAGTGGAATACAGTTTTTCTTACGAGGGCTTTAATTGAACTTGTATCCTCAAAAACGTGATTCTCTGTGTGGCTGATTGATGTGAAGCACCTTTTTTGTTAAACTGTATGTTGGGGATAAACAAAGTGCATTCCACAAACTCAGGCCATTTGTCAAAGCCACCAACTTTTATTCTATATACTTGGACTCAACTGTCACATGAACTCCTGTTTTAATATGCAAATTCATCAGGCCTTCAAGGCCTTGGCCAATCGTACCGTTACAACTGTGTCGTTTTGCTGTGGCCGAATGCTAAATTTTTGTGTAAATATTGGTTCAATACGCTGTTGAAGCATACGATTTTGCCAACGATCGAAAATTAGGCTTCGCTAGTAGATAAAAATCAGGGCACGACAAAAGTAATTTCGGCGAAGATTTATAGGATCTGCACTGTAAACGGGACAGATTCTCTAGATTTTAAAAAAAGGATGAAGAGAATTCGCATGGTTATAGAAATAGGTTTGAGTATGTTACGTTAGGTTAGTAAGAACAAATTTTGTTTAGAGACCGTGGAATTGGTTCTTTTCAATAATAGTTTCGAAATTGATCTCAAGCGGACATATATACCCTAATATTTTATTAATATTAATTTCTTTTATTTCTCTTTCTTATTCAATAGTCACATCACCGACGTAATGGGCACACAAGCTTGGCAAGATATGATCAAATCGCATTCACATTTAATTGTTGAGGTTTCGCAGGCGTTCTTGAAACAATAACTGGCTGCACTACTGAAAAAACTGAAATAATTGCGTGGTTTCACGACTAACCATTATTTACAGTTAAATTGAAATTTTCTTAATATATATAATAAACTAATCCCGCGGTTCATTTTTGTATAAAAATTTAGAATTTCTGTTACGATGAAATAAATTGAAAGAATGTTATTTGCTTTCATATTTTAATAATTGTTGATGCACTGGGCCAAGGGTGGTCGGATCTACGTTAAACCTTTTTAGGAAAGCTTAGAAGAAAAGCACGTGTCGAAAACTTGTTTTGCCGCCATCAACCAATGGTCTCTCTACACCTGTTGTCTACGGATTATCTATACATTCGAATCTCTGTGGCCGTACATTTTGATGTTGTAAGGCATTTGTTTGAGAGTCACTTGTGTACTTTCTGGGTACCATGTCTGCGAGCAATGTTCCCTTTCTTCAAAATGTGCGTACTACTATATCGTGTTTCATCAAAGAAAGTGCACACCCCTCCGATATCGTCTAATATATATAATATATATAAGCGGAATTGATGTATTTCCGAGAGGACCTACTACTGCGACCGTATTCTAAAGGTTGTATTTATAACAGCGAAAATATGCCATAGACTACAAAAAGGGTCCATTTCATTATTTGTTCCCTTTGAAGATTAAGTATTCATTTCACGTCCTTTCAATATCTAAATTTCTCAAAGTTTCTCTTTAGATTGCGTTCTTCAAGATAATGCTGTGATTAGACAGGAAACTAATGATTGAAAATGCCTTCTATGACAAATACATAACACAGTTTTATTGTGCACGTACACACACGTACGATATTCAACTAGAAGACTTTTTAGTGACATTCTAAGTTCTTGGATATTTAATCGCTTTCCAAGATATCCACGAACGGGTTAATCCTCCACAATTGCATCAAACGTATAGTTGTTACCATATCTTTAACATTTAACGTTGACTCGTCTGCCAAAGCACTTCGCCAATGGCGTAAAATGTGCTGTGCATAGCGATCGCGTAACTGATAAGAATGGTGTGCTTTTTCAATATAGACATTTCTCTCTTCCATAGGCATTTCATCCCAGCTTCTGCCGTAATGCTCCATATCGATCGGGAACGGTTGCGAACAGTTCTGCGGCAAGAATTTAAATAATGGAGAAAGGGATTACGACTTTGCATCTCCTCTTTTGTTTGTTCCTTTCTTTTTTGCTTGTTGTTGGTCGAAGACAATTCCTTACAGATTTTGTAAAATTTACCGAATTTTCCCACAATTTTTATTAGCGAAGAAGAACTTGTCTTCACATAATTTTTCACAAATTCACAAATTTTGCGTAAAGTGAAAGAATTTCGATTTTTTCCAATAAAACACAAAATTGCGATATAAAGATGATTAATACCTACTACGACGAATCATTCGAAATCAAGTGTATTTTAATACAAACGCACTGAGTGCGCGAATCGATTTCATCTGGTTTCCATACCCTACAACACCTGTGATACGATATTATACCGATCGGTTTAAGCTTGTATGTACGTCTGTCCGTATTTTTTCTTGTGTTTAACCTAAAGATCGTATTTTTAAAGATATTTTGATGAAATTCGGTACACGAACGTTTTTAGGTGTAAGGACGAACGCTATTGAAAAGGTTTCGGATCGCGCTATTCATTCCACCACTATACCTGTATCGCCTTATTTTGAAATTCGTCATATGAATAATTCTATTAGGTAAAGTGGTGTAGCGTATTTAATGGTAGGCCATTCACCCACTATAGTTTTCCTATTTGTTTTGTCAAGTTTTTCAAAATTTTATCCGACATTCGAGCTCACAAATAAGAATGAGTCCCTTCTTGAAATATAAGATCTATTTCTTTGTATCGACGATACAATGGAAAAGTTTGACCTTCAAATGTATATTGCAGAAAAAAATTAAAGGAAAAATTAGTTCTATCATCCACACTACTCGCATATTAACCGTAACCACATTCCACATCTATATTCTATTAACGTCGGGAAAATGAAGATCAAAATATAAGAAGTGACTTGGGCATACCGTTGCAACACATCAATGGATCCTTAAGAATTCTACTTCTCCGATGTGCGATTGCAAACTACATCTTACGGAATGCTTAAATCTCTCTAATATCCGAAAATTTGTTTTCGGAGCATATAACCCTATAGAAGTCTTAAGAATACCTGGAGAAGAAGAAAAGCTGTTAGTCTCAGTTGCTACTATTCATCGTACTTGTTGTCCTAGAATTTATTCTGGTTTAAATAAACTATGATAATAGCATTACGTTTGAAAGTCATTTTGTGATAGAAATCCTTGTTTTTCGATAGGTTTTGGGGCAACGTTATCCTGTACGATATTAGGCTAAATTAAATTAAAATAATTCGGAAATTATGAGACGTATGAGCCGATTTTAATTTTTGTACAATATCTCTAGTTGTTCACATATCGGAATTACAACATATCGGATTACAAGCACCGTAAGTTGGTATCATGGCATATAAAACGTGTAATAATCTTCTTTACAATGAGTACCGAGAACATCCGGCCTTAGCTTTCATTTAGGATGTTCTACCATACAAGTCTTCTTTTTCCTTTTTTAAAATTTTTGCTAACAAACTCAATAATTACAGCATTCTAAGAACTGGTGTACATAGTTTATTCGAAATTCGTTTTGGAATACAATATTTTCAGATCGTAAGCAATTTCTCGCCGGTGAGAAAATCCACAGTCACACAGGCAGCGGTCTTTGGTTTCCATATATTAACATCGAAGCTTATTTCTCATGGCTGATCCATGCAGTTATATATTTCTTAGTTGTAAATATCACTGCAGACAATATTGCATATTAATGATCGGGCGCTGATTTAAGCCGATTTGAGGGCAGAGAACAAAAAGTGCTCAGTCTCTTCTTCGCAGCAGTGCTGGAATAATTCAATTTTTGATCGCCACTTGTATACTTTATTTCCGCTAATAAATGTAACAACTTGATTTGTCAATTGCGGTCTCAGACGTCGCCTTATTTTCCTTATTAACAGGTTAATGTTTAATCACAAGAGATTCAATGATCAAGTATTCAAAATGAACATAGTGAATAGCTCCTAATGTATACGCGAGGTTTTGCAAAGTCGTGATCTTATTCTATTGGTCTGTCCGAATATTTCCACTTCTATTCGCCATTCCACACTTCGCAAATTAGCTGTATGTGGTTTTGATGATCGCAGCGTTTGCCTCTGCGCAATTTAGCGGCTTACTCTCTTTCTCTTCTTATAGAAATTGCCATTAATATGTATAAATTTTGACAGTTAAATTATGAAACTTCTCCGTCTCACACTCTTTTCACTTTCGCAATTCTTAGCTTTTTCATACCACTGTTCCATACACATGCGCTGCATTACTTCTTACACTACGAAATTCTCTCTCGCAGTTCTATATAAAAGTATAGTTGGGTTGTGGCCCTAAAAAGTGGAGACAATGGCGGGATATTAACATTTTTCGACATAAGATTGAATTTATACTTTGGTTATACTTTGCGACTCTTTGCCCGTTAGGTTGGAAATGTTTGGTAGCTATATAGCAAAATGAAAAATGAAAATCAATAAAGTTCTAGCTTGGCCAGTCTAAAGTTTCAAATCTGGTGGCTTTTCCATAGCCCTTTTTTTACGAGTCTTTGCTAGTTAGATTCGAATTTACCCTCACATCCTTGAATTATTCCCATCGACCTTTTCACCCGTTTCTCTTTTCCTCTTGGATTGATCAAAGAACGACTTTCATATATTAATCAGGTTTTTCTATAATTTTTGTTAGCGAGGTATTTATTTACACACATCTTTTAGACTAAAATTTTTGTGGGTCGGATTTCTCAAATAAGCGAACACTTCTATGCTTATGATAAGTCAGTCAAAAGTATTTTTATTTGTTAAACGAGCACCTAATCCTTTTCTACACAATAGATCCGTACCTAAAAAAGTCGTGTAAAAAATTTCGTATACATAAAGATATTGGCTAAAATAAAAGATTGGTTGTAGATCTAAAAAATCTACTGAAAAGTAAACACATTATAAAAAACAAGTAAGAGCCGACCATTAAATACCCTACACCACATTATTTAACATAATTCTTTCTTTTTATTCTAGAACACAAAAATTATATCTTTATAAAAGCATATTTGTCAAGCGCGTACTTACGCGGAACCGCGGCTAAAACGCAACCTGATGTAGTACAAGTTTAATCTTTACATAGGGCAAGGCGTATGCTCTAAATTTTGTAAAGTTTATTTTTATAAGAAATTACAGTATAGATCGATTTTCATTACCACATATTAAAATTTAAATTTTTCTGCTTTTCGTGAAACTCCTTATTAGGGTAGGATCCAAAAAATAGGCCGAGTTGGTCCAAATTTGGCACAGTTAATTTATTTATGTTAAATTACTATTGTGATATAATTTTCAATGCTTCACGATGAAGCATTTATGCTATGAACTTCAGTTTTCGTTATACGGGAGGTCCAAAGGCTTCATACCAATTTGGAATACCGAAATATTACTATTTAGCCACTTTTGCCGATAAATTCTGAAAATGGAAATTTTTTTCCATATAACGACTTTTTAGAATAGGGAGTTATACGGGGAGTGGTCGAAAAAGTGAAGCGATCAGAACTATTTTTAATAGCGTTCGTTCTTGGGTCAAAACAAGTCACTGTACCAAGTTTCATTAAAATATCTTATGAATTGTGATCTGTAGCTTGAAGGCAAATTTACTTTGATAGACATCAGGCGGACAGACAGGCTTAGGTAAATTCAAATTACGATCTTAAGCACTTACGCGTGTTACATATGCCCGCACTAACTTAATATACCCTGCAGCGCAAATGATGTAGGGTAAAAAAAATTTTATTATTAGAACTAAAAACATGCGGAAGAAACAGCAAATAGCGTTCTACTTTCAGAGTTGCCAGCCCACGCACGACCGCCAGACTATGCTCTAAGACATTTTACTCTAAGTAATCTATCGTCAATGAGACATCTTTCATCATTTTTCATCTACGCTTATCTGGGAAGTTCGTAGCTGGTAACATGAACAAACACGCGCTTTATTTTCCAAATAATCAGTATGAATTTACTCACGTGCACTTCCTTTTTTCTCTTCAAAAAGTTAATTTATTAAATACTATACAAATTTTTAATTTAAAACATCTGTCTCTTCAAAAACACTACCCTAATTTTTCATATAATTTTTTTCCTATAGGCGCTATGTAGATTCAATAGAATTCGTTCAAAAGCAATTAGTGCTCTTTGTCCTTACGAATTTGAAACACTCTTGTCTCCTTGCCTCCTTACGAGCGTAAATTGATATTGCCAACCTTGCCGCCACTTGAAAAACGCAGGTCTATCCTTAGTGTTTCCTTCTTAACTAAGCTAATAAATGGTACTATCGATTCGCCCACTTTACTTGGAGAGATAAACCCCAATGTCGCAAACCGTTCTCTAGGAACACTTATTCAATATTGATCTAATTACGAGCTTTTCAATTCTTTTAGAGTACCTTGCAAATGGTGTCTTAACTTCAACATCGGACTCATAAAAATTGATCATATCTCCTAAATAGCCGCACTTTGCTAATGTTGTATCTCGATTAGTTTCTAACCTCCGAGCTGAGCTTTTACAGGTTTGCAATGGCCTTGAGGTTTACCTCTGTTCTAGATGTGTACATATTTTTTTGTTCTTCAAAATTACGTATTTCAGGAAAAGATCATTACTCAAGAGCACAGCAAAGTTAACGGCACCATTTACAAAGTAAACAAATCCTTAACATAGTTTTCGGCTTAACGTACTAAGAAGTCAGCTTAAATCTAACTATTAAACTATGACATTAATCAGAAAAGGGGATGTATAGGATAGTAAGTAGTACAGTAGTAAAGTGTTCAAACCCAACACAAGTCCAAGTAACTATATACATTCTGTTACACACAGATGTTCATAGTGCCTAGTCTTACGGGTACATAGAGTACAAACTTCAGTAAATGTGCTCAGCTCAGTTTTTTTACTCTCTCTTACGGTCTTTCATATTTTGTTTATGGTGGTTGTCTTGGGATAGTACTTAAGAATTTTACTGCGCCAATGTTGCTAGCGGTATGTCTTGTCCTATATGTGTAATATTTTTGGGAATACCCTCTCTTATTGCTGCCAAATTAGACATAGACAAAATAATCCCTGTTTACAATCAGACTTTTTATCTAAGGTAAACACCCATTTT